GATATAAAACTAAAAAAGGGCACAAAGAATAGAGCAGAAAAAAGGACAAGCAATGATAACAGTACTAAGAAGGCTAGGAGATATCTTTGCTTTATTCTATTATCTTGACTATTAATGGTCTTGTTTGTGAATTTCACCATCCTGCTATTTGATGTAAACACTTCCCCAGGCATCTGTAAGCTTTGCTTTTTTTCATATGCATAGTCCTCCAATTCCTTCACAAAGAAGGAGGCCTAGAATATGACCAAATTCTAATATCAACTCCTTTCCAGATCATCTGTCTCCCGGCTGTCCCCTACCCCCACTCCTTTTTTAATAGTCTTTCTTTACATATTATGCCTCTGTTCTTCATTACACTTCCCACCCTCATCCCAACTTTATATTTTGGTTTTATAAACACATTTACAGCTTGTTGGCTCTTTTCAAGCCACAGTGAGAGGATTAATACTATGATGTATAATTCACAAGCTAGAAATCTCTGACACATTATTATAACTGTTGTTTCAGAGACCTCTGGAGTTATAAAAAATATCTATTGCCAAGATAAAGCTTCTCTGGTAATCACTTTGGCCTGAGGGGTGTGTGCTAATGTAATACATTAGTGTGTTTCTTTGTCTGAATCTTCCTTATTAACACCCGACTACAGAAAGACAGATTCTAAAGATATGGCTTAAATTCAGCTAAAAACATTAATTTTGACACCAGTTAAACTCTCCATAAAAATGTTAATTAAAAGATTATTATAGTTTAATAATAAATGTGTAACTGTTAATATGGATATTAGCAGCCATAGTATAAGATATTGTCTGTAAACCACTAGTTTTCATTGTCCAGTGATGTTTCAAAAATCTTTTCATGTGTGTTGTAAGCCTTGAGTTGGTTAAAAAAATAAAAAGGAAAATCAAAAACTGGCAAACTTACAAATTTGTGTTCAGACTTCTATTTTTTAATGGTGAAGGAACAACTTATCCCAGAATGCATTGCAAATCCCAGACTTCACCACAAACTTGCATTCCCCAAGTCATCTGATGTTTGCGGGAATGTTTGCGTAAACCTTAACATGGTAGGAGTGACCAATCAAATCCCTCGCTGTTTCATTTGGTGCAGTAGTTCTTTTCAATTAGTAAAACCTTTTTGTTGTTGTTGATACAGACACCTAAAGACTTGTGGTTTCTGCAAGAGTGCATGCCATTGTTTTTTTCAGTTTTGATAGTTCCAATATTATCGCTCATAGCAAAATCCATATAGCAAATATAAATGGGGTTTTTACTTCTTACTCCTGGAACCTCTATGGAGTCTACTTGCTGGTTTTTAGAGCCCCCGAGAGCAGCCAGTTGGCTTTTCTACCTTTAAAACCCGCCTTCCAGCCAAATGGCTTTTAGCTAGGCTTTAGCTTCAGCCAAGTGGAAGCTAAATTGGCTAGTCATTCATATGTAAATTAGGTTGTTACCTGAGAATTCTGGAGGGGAGTAGGGGTGTGTGAATGATTGCTAATTTCTAACTGCCAACTGCCTCTGTGTTTGTCGGGGGGGGGGCACTTTGTAATACGTGAATGTGCTTGTGATTCCTGTGGGAAACACTGCAGTACACTGTCATGATCAGTATAATCATGACAGTGAATTCTAATAGTTTATACCAATCTCAGCTTGAATGAACTTCTGTGCACTGCTGACAGAAAGTGCTGCTGTGTTTTCACATCCTCCTCTCAGCACAGCATATGGCATTTCTATTGGGGGGAGTGCACACAGTCAAGCAGATAGATCACAGATGATTGCATTTTCTTCCTCGTGCCGTCCTTTGCCTTCTCCTCCTTCTCTATATCAGCCAGGGTAGGAGGGGGTTTTCACGAGGAGCACTGCACGTGCTGCCTCATATTTAATTACTTAGGCATGTAGGCTAAAGCAACACAACAATTCCATTTCACTGCAACCCCCTGAGATTTTATCCCTGTGTACAAAGCATGTTGCATGTGTGTGTGTGTTGCATACCCTATTTATTTCTCTGCCTGCTGTTCCACATGGAGACTCTGAGCATGGGAGACCTGGTGTGTGTATCTGTGTTTGCAGATGGCAGGAATGCCAGGTCGGAGTGAGTGGGAGGAGAGTGATTATAGGCTGTGTTGCTTCTTTATAGGTGTGTTTGAGGGTAGCCTATATCTTTTAAATATTGTATTTGTATGTGGGTGTTTTACATTATAGAACAACTGCTGATCTTACTGTGTATGCACCAACTAAGAGTCTCACTTGCTTGCAGGATATTATGATTGAAACATATAGCTGAAGTGAAGACTTTTTCTTCTTCTTCTTTTTAAATTGACCATAGCAATAGCTCAGGTAGGCCATTAAATCTAGCTCAGTTCCAATACTGGCAGATCAAGCCATCTTCGTTCAAGCATGCATCACCTGATGCCTCAGTTGATTGTCTTCTATCCAGCTGGCAAATCTCTAATGTGTAATCACACATTACAGAGCATCTGCAAACCACTCTGCAACCCACCTCTACCCCAATGCTTCCTCCCTGTATCTGACATAATCAGTGTAGGATTTGTTGTTGTGGATGTTTTATTGTGGAAAGATACAGACCTCTCCCTGACTCTTTCCTTTTTCTTTTTTTTTCCCGTCTTCTAAAGATATAAAATGTCAATACAAAAATATAACATTATAATCTGTAATTTCACAGTCCACACAAATTTTTGGTATCATTTAAGTAGTTATATGTTTAAAAAGACAAATGATGTTGCTTTACATTTGTAAAGCACAAATAGTGAAAAAATATGCAAAGCTGAAAATAAAGGTGCTGTATTCTTTTTTAAAAAATATATTATATCACATAAAATACTTTGATGAACCCACTCCTTCCTGCTGTGTTAGACTAAATCAGTCCTTTGGGTTGTCTTCGTTGCCTGCTCTGTTCTGTGATGGGTTTTGCTCTTCATGCCTTTTAGGTTCCATTATTGCACACTGAAGGGTGGGAAAGTCTCAGTAAAGAGTTATACCACCGTATATAAATTACTCCAGGTGGAACTAGCAATCTTCTCTTGGCAATAGAGTTGTTAACGCTAGTGTATTTTCAGTTTAAACTATGAATAATTGTGTGACTTATCCTCAAACAAAGGAATTTCAGGCCAAACAGGTTAATACATACCATATAGTGAAGCATTGTGCTGGTGTACTGTGGAGACGTTTTTTGGCTGTGGGAACTGGAACTGAATGCAAGCAATGTACGGAGACATCCTTGATGATAATCTGCTTCAGAGCACCAAAAGGATGACGACCCTAAACACACAGCCAAGATAACAAAGTAGTGGTTTCGGGAAAACTCTGTCAATGTCCTTGAGTCGCTTCAGCCAGACCCAGAGTGGAAGCCAACTGAACATCTATGGAGAAATCTGAAAATGGCTGTGCACTGACCCTCCCCATCCAAGTTGATGAAGCTTGAGAGGTTCTGCAAAGAAGAATGGGAAAAACTGCCCGAAAATGGATGTGCCTAGTTTGTAGCATCCTACAGAAAGGCTTGAGGCTGTAATTGCTGTCAAAGTACTTCGATAAAGTACTGAGCAACGACTGAATGCTTCTATGCATTAGCATTCATATTACACATTTCAGCCCACTTTTTTATCGTCATTATGGGGTTTTGTGTGTAGATTTTAAAATGAAAAATGAATGTAACTGTTTTTGAATAAGGCTGTAAGCATGGCAAAATGTGTGACATGATGCACTGCATATCCTTGTGTACAATATACCCTACATACAGAAAGTATGCTGGCAAGATGGTGGCTCAGTGGTTTGCACAGCAAAAGACACCTGAGGTTAAACACTGGCCAAGACCCTTTCAATGTGAGGTTTACATGTTGTCCCTATGCTTGCACAGATTTCCTTGAGGATTTGTGATCTCTCCCATCATTAAAAAAAACATGCCGTATAAAGGTGTCCTTGACCGTAGAGGTGGCATTGGTCCCTGGGTCCTGCATGTTTCCCACAGCTAATTCTGAGGATGTGTTAAATACAGAGAGTGAATTTCCCTGTGGGGATTAATAAAGGATAAGTTAATTTATACAGTACAAAGGTTGACTGACCCCATTATTTGCTAGAATAAGAGTTTCTTTTCTTTTCTTTTTTAATTAGCAAGGCATGAAGGCCTTTTGAATCATAGATATGGTTAGTGAGCTAATTGCACTCAATCAAGACTGTTCCTCATTTCAGAGGTAGTAGATTGAACTGCTGTGACTTTTTCTCTTCTGCAGACCCACCCACACTCAGCTATATATATATTGTATACCGTGCCAGTTTCTCAATGTTCCTGCCATATGGATGTTTTATGTCATACACATGATTGAATTTATTTCCTGTTTTTCTGGATGGCAAAAGCAACGACACCGTCCTCTGTGTAGGGCAGGGGAGATGGATAAGCTTTGTCATGAAAGAAAACTAGAGCAAATTTATGAATTTGTTTGTCTTTATATCTTTATATATTTCACTTATTTTCATGTAACATAGTTATAATAAAATAGAAAGTGAACGTAATGTGTGAGAAAAATACTAAAGTAGTTACTTACATGAATCAATCATATTGATATATAAGACATATTGAGCCACTGACCACCGAAAGGATATGAAAGCAATTAAAATGGTTATTAAAATTGGAAAATCTTCATATAAATGTCAGTTCATTTCCATTTCCATATTTTAGTGAGCTATAAAAATATGTAATAGAAAGCTTTCATTCTTTTTCCCTTCCCGACTCTAGCCAAGATCAGCCTGTAACTGTGTTGAGTGATGGCAGATAGCGAGTATGGATTCAGGACATTAACAGCTCCTCTCACAGAGTGCTGTGGTGATGTAACCTACTTGCAGTGAAGAGGGCCTTAGAGAGAAAAAGCTCAGACAGCCTGTTTAGGTGGAGAGAATCCTGTGAAATGTTTGTGAGTCACTTTGCTATGTTTGACAGCAACAGTTGTGCAAAATAGCTCAGAGTGAAGTCTTGCACTTGTGTCTCTACAGAGCAGCCAGAGCATTTGGAGAATACCTGTCCAATACCAATCCAGAGAACCGCAACGGAGCAGGTAGGTGGCACACTTAGTAGTCCTACAACAATACTATATCAGTATTATAGCAATATAGTATTTAGTCGGAAATATCAGTTTCTCCGGCTTCACACGTATTTCCTACTCCCAAAAATACCTTAAAATATTTCTGTGTGAAATATTGGCCTGTGACATGTCGGATAATCAGTTATTAAAATATTTTAAAAATGCTGATGTTTATGTAATAAACGCTCAGCTTCAGGGTGCAGTCACACCACAACAGCAATGTTTCACAGGTTATCCCCAAAACCAAAAGTATTTGATCACCCTAAAATCAGCTGCAGCGAACTATACTGTCACCTGGTAAGTGCTGAAAAATTGGAATTGGAAATTGGGCAAGTGTAAGGCTCTGAACAATTTTGACAGGGGCCAACCTGTGAGAGCAGGGTGACTGGTTCAGAAAATCTCCAAAACAGCACGTATTGTGGGTGGTTCCCAGAATGCAGTGGTTAAAGCTTACCAGAAGTGGCTGCAGACCATGTGGACAAGTTCAAGGCATCAGTGTTCCTTGATGGCAGTGGCTTCTTGAAGGACATGTATGGTATGGTATAAGGAACTTGACAGAGAACTGACTCCAGATTGCTCTATCCTGCTGCTCGGTTCCGTTGTGAATCCTGATACTACAGGACACCATCCAAGGTCTTCTAAAGTCCATACCTCAACAATTCTAAGCAGGATATCTTAATGTTGCAGATTACTGATATATCTGCAAGTTCTTCCCCTCTGCTGTTGGCAAGTGCTGTTCATAGAGGATTAGCATATTGTAGGGTTTTTACTTTAACATGTAAAGCACTGTAAGATGACTACTTTTGTAAACTGATTATGAAAAAACAAAACTGAATTGGTAATGTAATTGAGGATTTATATTTTCAGTAGTAATTTATATTTGTTAGCATGCTCTTTTTAGTGCAAACATGTGGAATACATAAAGTAGCAGAAAACATGACAATTGAGATGGGGCTGAAGTTAGGTGCAAAGTGGCCTGCAGATACGCAGCATCTGTGGGCAGGCTAAAACAGGATTGTGTGCTTGCCAATTGGGAAGGGTCTGGAAGGGTATCAAGCGAGCTATCAGATGCACTGAGACCAGCTTACCTACTGGGATTGTGGTTGAGCCTAACTTAGTAACCTACTCAGTCTAATTCTATGCTAAGTTTAATTATATCCTGGAAAAGCTGTTGTGACTAACTAGCACTTCCCTTTCCCCTACCTTTGCAATATCGCTTTTCTGTGTATGATTTCAACTTTATAAAAGGGAATCTTACAAATCTGTTTGCTTTCCACTCAGTTTTTCTTCACTATAACTTAGTAAGTAAAGTAAAGTAAAATTTTATTTATAAAGCACCTTTCAAGATAAAAATCAAAAAGTGCTTCACAGAAGCTAAAACCTAAAAATAAAAATCAACCAAAAGCAAGTTTAAAAAGATGAGTCTTTAGCTGTTTTTTAAAAGCGACCACGGAGTCCACAGATCTCAGGCTCAAAGGGAGAGAGTTCCACAATCTGGGGGCCACAGTTACAAAAGCTTTGTCGCCTTTTGTTTTCAGCCTCATGTGTAGGATAACCAGCAAGCCCTAGTCACATTACCTCAGGGACCTGCTGGTAATGTATGGATGTAAAAGTTCACTTATACAGGGAGTGCAGAATTATTAGGCAAGTTGTATTTTTGAGGAATAATTTTATTATTGAACAACAACCATGTTCTCAATGAACCCAAAAAACT